CAGCAGCAGCAGCAGCAGCAGCAGCAGCAGCAGCAGCAGCAGCAGCAGCAGCAGCAGCAGCAGCAGCAGCAGGATGAGGTACATCGCTGATGTTTGTTGAAGATGTTGTCGACATTCATCCGGGAGGGCTTCGGTTGCTTCCATGCAGAGGTGACTTGAGCTGCTGACCGTCAAGAGTTTGACTGGACAAGTTTGTCGTCACCCTCGAACGAGCATGTCCGGGAGGATCCGAAGATGCAGCAGCCATGACAGTCAGGTGAGATTGGGATGAGGAGGAGGATGAGGATGGCGATGACGATCATCATCATCATCATCATCATCATCATCATCATCATCATCATCATCATCATCATCATCATCATCATCATCATCATCATCATCATCATCATCATCATCATCATCATCATCATCATCATCATCTCATCATCATCATCATCATCATCATCATCTCCATCATCATCATCATCATCATCATCATCATCATCATCTCCATCATCATCATGATCATGATCATGATCATCATCATGATCATCATCATGATCATGATCATGATCATGATCATGATCATCATCATCATCATCATTCTCTTCACTCACTCACCTCGAACACACTCTGTTCTTTATCAGCCTGCGCCTTCAGAAGAGCCATCTCAGAATGAGCCTGATCCCTCGCCTGATTGACAGAAAAGTTTACAAGGCGATCCAACACAACAAGTCAAGTGACCTCGTATGCGATGTTCGACTGCTCGATTATCAGGGCCATCTCCTTCTTCTTCTCATGCAGCTCCCGAGCAAGTTTGCTGTTGATGGAGTCGAAGACAACCTGGAGCAGCAAAGTGTCATGGGAGGCCTCGATCCGAACAAACAATCGAAGCAGGTCATCGTCATCGTTATTCTCTTCATCAAGAGCGTTTTCATTTTCATCATTGTCAACCATTTTCATCTTCTCAGGATGCAAGTTTGATTCGCTTATCAATCAAAATCTTCCAGCAACACATGCAATTTCCATCATCATCATCATCATCATCACCACCACCACCATCATTACAAACCCGCTCTCGTCGAAGATGATCGATCTCCTCTCTCAGCTGCTTGTTCACAGACAGAGCTTCATTGAACCGCACCAGCGCATGATCCAGCCTGAGGGCACATAAGACAACTAAGTCGTTGATAACAACCCTTCACCTGTTCTCCAAGATGCGAATCTGTTTGCTCGTCCTCATATCTTCGACCTTCCTTGCATCCTTTCCTCCTGACGTGACGTGCGTTTCCAACACCTTCACTTGCATGATCTTGCCCTGCTTCTCGAGCTCTTCCAGTCTTCTCTCCTCGATCTCGACCTGTTGTTCACGTGAGCTGATTAGCAAGCAGGACGAGGACAAGGAGAGGGCCGACCTTTCGCTTGTACGTCTCGATGGAATCTTGTAACCGCATGAGGTGATTCTGAACCTAAGGCAACACCGTCATGAGATGCTGTCGAGAACAAGGAGGGAGGGAGGGAGGGAGGGAGAGAGGGAGGGAGGGAGGGAGGGAGGGAGGGAGACACAAGGAAGAAAGACTTACCGACGAGTTCTCACTCCGACTCCTTGATTCTGCCTCGACTTGCTCTTTCAGCCTCTCGTTCTCCTTCTTCACTTTCTCGATGGCCTGCCTTTGACGTTTGATGATATTCTGAGACTCTTCAGCATATCTCGCTCTGTCGTTTTCCATCATCTTGTAGCTCTTCTGCAGCATAGCAAGCTCGTTCGCCATGTTCTCCTCTGTTCGGGAGCGATCAGTCTTCTCCCAGTTATCTGCAACCCACCACCATCTCATCACCTGCCATCTTGACTTGTTGATGTCCGCTCCAATCAATCGATTTCACTTGAAGACCCAGCTGTTCGATGAAATGATGTCTGACCTGAACACCATGTCAGATCGCTCCGTCTGGTTGTAGAGAACGTCTTCATGATCAAGTTCCTCAGACTTGCTCCTGCTCCTGCTCCTGCTCCTGCTCCTCCATGCTCACTTGTTCCTACATCTCTGCTTGCAGTTGCTTCTCTCTTCCTTCCGCTGCTCCTCTCCTCGCTTCTTCCCCGCATTCATCAGCCCCGCGCCATTCATTCTTCGGGTCAACCGATCAACGGTCTCTCACGGAAGTTGGGGTAGGTCATGTAAAAAGTGGGTAGGGGGTCATAAGTACCCATATGAGGACACGAGATATTGACAGAAAAGGTCGGTAGGGGGTACTGTGACACTTGTGGGGTAGTCAACATCGGACACATAGGGGTGGGTTCAGAACGACAAGGCAGTGGTTTCATTTTGCTCTGCTATTCACCGTTACATTATCGTAACGTCTGGTCCCCGAGGCCCGGCAGGCCCGGCCCGGTGCTCCGGCGACCGTCGGACCGTCGGTCCGAGACTGAAGTGTGAGCTGACTCCTTTTTTACTCAACTGAGTTAAGTTAAAGACTCAGTGAGGCCGCCGGGCCTCGGAGCACTTGGGCCGGGCTCACGGTGGTCGGCCGGGTACGCTCAAGGCCCTCTAACTTGATCTACGGGCAACAATGTGCGGAACGTGCCCTCGCTCAGCATACATCCCAGCTGTGACCATAAGGCGCAAACTCGTTTCCCAGCTGCTGACCCACCGCTCAGTATCGAAGAGGTCGCTGCCTTGCATCCTGCGAGAGATCATGAGTCATGGCCAGGAAGAGGGAGGAGGAGGAGGAGGAGGAGGAGGAGGAGGAGGAGGAGGAGGAGATTGTAGAGAGGTTACATGCTCTGTCGCAAAGCTCGCCTCCTGTGGTGGGAGATTGCGAGAGCGAAGACGAGCTCGAGGAAGTCTTCTTGCGTGCGAGCAATCAGGCAAGAGACAGTCGCAGTTGACATCTGCAGGTCAAGTGAGCAGATGGAGACGAAAGAGGGTAGAGGAGGAGGTTGGGAGGAGGAAAAGTTCAGGGTGTGAAGGGAAGAGAACAAAGAGGAACAGGGAAGGGAGATGGGAGCAGCAAGAGAGAGAAGCAGGAAGAGAGGAGGAGGAGAGAGGAGGAGGAGAGAGGAGGAGGAGAGGAGACAGGAGAGAGGAGAAGCAAGGGAGCAAGAAGAAAGAAGGAGAGGAGGACAAGGAAAGAAGGAGAGGAGGAGAAGGGAAGAAGGAGAGAGGAAGAGGGAAGGAGGTCAACCAGTAGACTTGCTGCTACTCTTGACGCCATCGCTACACCCGGCCAGGTGACTAGGGGAACGCCAGCCCAGATTGCCTGAGGTAGCGAAACAGCAGGTGTGGAATGTAAGGTAGGAGAAAGTGAAGCGAGGAGCAGGAGAAAGGAGGAGAGCAGAGGAGGAGACAGGAGACAGGAGGAGGAGGAGGCAGGAGGAGGAGGAGGCAGGAGGAGGAGGAGACAGGAGGAGCAGGAGGAGCAGGAGGAGGAGCAGGAGGAGGCAGGAGGAGGAGGAGGAGGAGGAGGAGGTACCTCGTATGAAGCTCTTTCTCCCTCATCAGAGACTGTTTCAGATGCTTGAAGCCAACCTTGTAGTCGTTGACCTGAGCCCACATCACTCCCTCACCTCTCCCTCACCTCCCGCCCAGCCTGACTCTCTCTCTCTCTGGCTCTCCCTCCTTCTTGCTCTGTCCCTCCACTCCTCCTCTGACTCTCTCCTGTCTTCCCCTGCTCCCCTCCTCCATACCTCTCCCTCTCTCCTCGTCTTCCCCAGCTTCTCTACCTGGTAGGTGCCAGGGAGGAGGACAAGGTGCTCTGAGTAGAGGGCTCTTGCTTCCGGCGGGCTGACGATCTTGTCTGAGACTAGAAAGTCGATGTAGGCGGCTCCACTGAAGAGAGAAGCAGCAAAGTGAGAGGAGAGGAGAGGAGAGGAGAGGAGAGGAGAGGAGAGGAGAGGAGAGGTGAGGAGAGGAGAGGTGAGGAGAGGAGAGGAGAGGAGAGGAGAGGAGAGGAGAGGAGAGGAGAGGAGAGGTGAGGTGAGGAGAGGAGAGGTGAGGAGAGGAGAGGAGAGGTGAGGAGAGGAGGAGGAGAGGAGAGGTGAGGTGAGGAGGAGGAGAGGTGAGGTGAGGTGAGGTGAGGT